GATTACCAAATAATAAACACCCAGCCGATAAGTTTAAAGATCGATCAGGAACTCTGAAACTCGTCTTTTTACCAATTCTGATTAAAGTACCTTGTTGAGTAAACTACACAGCTTCTGGTGATTCTTCTCTATCAATTCTGTTACATTGTTCAGCTTGAATATTGCGAGCAACTTCTTGTTCTTCCTGAGAAAACACAATCGAAGCATGCCTTCCCACTCCTGAAAACGAGAACCTCCGACAAAGCATTCAACGTAAAACGGGAAAAGGATTTCAGAAAACTCACATCAAAATTTATAGGAGGAGGTGGATTCTTCGGTGCGATACGTACCACCGCCGAGTCGACCTTTGGAGGAGGGCGGAACTCGGTTCTTTTGATTTTCATGAGATGTTCAACCTAAAGCACAGCCAATGTTTTGAAACAATCACTTTGGCAGAAGTAATGAATGGAGGCTTACCTTTGCTAGAAGTTGTACATTTACCGACAATCGACAGTAATCTTTATCGCCTGGTTTCGCTATTAATCGATCGGCGAATTCTTTTTGAAACATCAACACCGCATATCTGCAAGGGAAACATTTCATAGAATTAACATGAAAACTGAAGGCACGTCCCGCATTAAAGAAAAGATAATTTGTGTGGCTCAAATACTAATGGCAAGATGGTACATAACACAAAAATGAATGAAAAAAAATCACTAAAAACCCGTTCGGAATGCCCATGTAGCTCCCCTTGCTGAACCGCGATTGTACGTACATACATGAGGCGAAGAAAGGGCGAGATCGGACTAGTTCTCGTTTTTGATAGTAGCTCTTTCTTCTCATCACCTCGCTCTCGCCTTTCGAAATGGAGAGGGTTGGTAGCGGAACAACCATATCATCAGGTAGCAGGTAAAAGTGAAAATAGGGCGCCACCTGTGGACCCCTGAGTGAAGCCGCGGTTATCGTCACGAGCGAGCGGCGCTACACTCACGTGTTCTTGTGCTGCGAAAGTAGTACATCCTGCCGGGGCAGTTCGGCGACGGGATGGGGAGGGGGCATTTTGCTTCCCATCGATGTGTCGACCCATCTAGATAGCCTTTTCTTGAGTTGACACGTTTTACCATGGTGGCTAGACGAGCTTGCTCCAGCTTCACAAGAGTTCACAAGTTTCACCAGAGTGAGACTTGTAAACCGGAACTAGTGAAGCAGTGATAGTACAAAATGCCCCCCCGTCGCCGAACTGCGCCCATCCTGCGTGCTTGCAGTTATGGGCCGAATGGACAACATCAAGAAGTAATACGCTAACTGTAGGCCAGTGACTCCAGTGCAATGAGCAGAACACAAAGTTGTACCACAAAATTTTTAGTTAAAGAAAACCTCACCTTGGAAGTGGTCGTTGCAACAGCAGCTTGAATACAAAAGGGAGATGAGATCTGATAGGGTAAGTTTGCCACACACACATCGAAGAACGGCCATTCAGCTTTCATGACATCACCGTGACGGACCTCTAATTTATTTTGAAGAGGCCTGAAAGCGCATCATATAAGTAAAAAGTTGTTAAATGCAAGGGATATTGTGGTAAAAGTGGTAAAGCAGCGCAACCTCTCACTGTGGCCATGACTCGTTTTCAAACTCTGCTACATTTCTTGGTCAATCTCAGCAAGCAAATAAACGGCTTGCTTTGCCACTTCCAGCATTTCACTGTCCAAATACCTTGTAGCCAAGGACGCTGAACTTCTAGTACAGTATCCGTCGACTTGAGAGCGGACTGAAATTTCAAGTGTTCAGGTAAAAAGCTGTCCAAGCAACCCCTGGAATTTCAACAAACAGACTACAGGGTGTTTCTCTCATTGGTGACTGGTTTGGTTTAACGATTTTTCTTCTCACTAATGAGCAATGAAGGACATCTCCCACGACATGTTGCAAGCCTCTGGTACATTCGTGAAAAAGGAATGAAAGTATTCTGGGTCTTCCACATCACAACAAAACTCATTGATTGACATTACAAATACGAAATCATCTCAAGACACTGTACCTCACATTACAACACCATACTGGTAAATTGAAGAAGTATTACCAAGACTTGGAGAACTAAAGAAATCGAGCAAAAAAAAAAGTACAGCCGAGTACAAATATAAGGCCAAAGACCTTAAATCAATACCCACCTTCTCAATGATTGAATTAACTATACCAGGATTCTTCAAAATATGCTGGCCTTTCTCAGTGTTAAATGGAAGAGCTGAAAATGTATTGCTCACTTCAAAAAATTTAATGAGACTTAATAGCATTACTAACGACTCACATTGTGTATTGAGAGCCGATGACGGCTTTTTCGTCTTCTTTGCTTTGACCATGGCTCATGTATTACATCAATACAACCTAATAAACCGGAAGGGAAAACCAATGAGATTGCCGAAATAAAATGCTAAAAATTTGAAATGAGTCGTATAATGGCTTGCGACCTGGTATACCTACACACTAAACAATGGATCTGTCGACACAAAAACCACACCGCGGGGCACGCTACTGTTGCGGAGCAGGGCACATTGTTACTGGGGAATTCCCAACAGTGGGGTTGTATTTACCCGCCAGGAGGGGAGGGGTCCGTTTTGGGCTAGAAAATTGTATTCTGGAGGTTGATTTTTTCACTTACGTTGTAGAAGGGGGAGGTCGTGTTTACTGTTTGGCCTTCTAGGAATGGTGGTTGACTTTTCGTGTTTCCTGTACCCCCAACCAATGATGTGCCCTGGTGAGGAGTTGTACAACATTCCCGTGAGGGCAGATTACCGGTAACTAGCAAGCGTCAGATGTCACAGCATTAAAGCTTGGGTTTACTTCACTTTCCTGTTACTCACTCGAATTTCTCAATCACTGCATTTCAGCGTATGTTATCAGGCCCATTGAACAATTATCTAATTAACAACTCAGAAAACCTGGAATTCTCAAAGCAAACTTTTGAAAGGGTCCAGCGTACCTCATTCATGGAAAAGTCATAGATAGTTCAGCGCTATACAAGGGAGTCTGGGTGCGGTAAAAAGCTGCTACCAGATTCATCGTGGAGGATAAAAACAATGACTGGGAACTGGCTGCCTCTCCCCAAGTCATTGTGTAGGCCACAGCCCTTCCAATAAACCACTAGATTATGAACAGAAGTAAAATCCTGGCATCGAAAGAGAACTGATCCAACTGCAAAGTTTTTTGGATTTATTGAAAGCAGGACGCTTGAACAAATAGCCCACGAGGATCGCAGTGCGCGGAGGAAACCCTGTGTCTGCTTGAGCTGAGCGGGGGACTTGTCACGCATCCATAACGGGTGCACTCCTGATCGAAGGGCAAAAAGGGCGTTGTAGCATACGGGCTTGCAATATTCCTGCCGCGAACATATCCTCTTTCACACATGTCATTCCCTACTCCAAATCTTTGAGTATGGCGCGGTGCTCGAACCCAATATTGTCGTTCTGGCACCATCGTGAGCACGTTTTTGTCCTAAAAAAGACAATATCCCAGCTCTGCCGAATCGAAACATCCTATGAGTATGTTATCCTGCTCCATATTCAAGCAAACTAAGCGGCCAATGCCAACCGTCTCTCAGGAATATGATGGCACATTCTTGGAAACACCCTTGTTGCGCTCAGAGATGGACTTTATAAGGAACTAGTTTTGAGAACTGCCTACTACATGGTAGACTTCTTCCACTACAGGGACTAATCGAAGAGTGTTTCGGCGCGATAAGTCACGCAACTACGCTTCCATGCACCCGAGTGGGTACACCTATTTTGCGTTGGGATATCAGCGATGGAGCGAGCCCTTCGGAGTCTTTTTAACAGCATTAACTCAGGCATTCAGGCGTTGAGTAGTGAGAAATCTAGCGAGCGGTTTTTGTGTTCTGCCTGCAGTCGCTATCAGCGATTAGCTATGGACGACAGCATCGGAATCTGGGTTACTGCCGTACAGAAGCACAAAAGAAGGCGCTTTTTGCTTCTCAGCCTACAACCAGTTTGAGGGTCGAACAGCTATCACTCGTGTTCTATACAGTCTGTACATCAGTCGTGTATAAGAGCCCATATTCGAAAGGGCCCCCTCCAAGCCTAAGACTCCTGTCTGCACTTTGAAAGTATCAGGTATCAAATTTTCAGAACCAAGCGGACAATTGACATTTGACCAAACCAACTAAGTTCGTAAGGATTCCTTCTTTGCCCGGTAGTGGGTGAGTAATCGCGAGGACTGCCCCACTTTCGCTGCTCCAGAATGGGTGAGCAGGGTTCTACGGCTATCGTAAGTCGCAGTTCAATACGGTGCAATTTCCGGAGTGGCCGCGTTGCTCATTGTGAAACTGCGAAAGTGGAATAATTTCTGCGATTGCCCACCGGACGCCTTGGGAAGGAAGCATTCTTACGGAATGGTTTAGCGCGAGTTCTATCCCAAGAGCTGTTAAAAATCTCTATCTGTCAGAAACGTGCAGGTCTGGGCTCACTGACTGAAGTTCGTGGATATGTGGCTGTTAGCCTCCCTCGTCATAGTATGCAGGCCATCAACAGGTAATCATCAGCTCATTGTTTTATTACTAAAAATATCGGCCGCAAACGAAGTCGTACAATTGATCGATTCACTAAGGTTTTGCTTCAGCATTTACGAAGGTGGAATGATAGAAAAGTTCAAGAGGTTTGAGCCAGAGGGGAGTGAGCTTCGACTTGCGCGTGTGTATGACAGCAACATTGAATACTTCGGGATATGCTTTTGTCTGTCAGTGTTGTCTGTGTCTTCAGACAAGAGCAAGGCAAAAAGAATTCTTCTCAACTTGAATGAGCAAAGGTGAATAGGGGGACGCGTCCTCCTGTGTGCTGTAATAGCGCATTCCCGCAATGGTGAGAGCTCGGTTTCATATTGCCAATTGAGGCCGTGCTTCCAGCTATATCAGCGAGTAACACATATTTGATAACCGTAACCTTTACAGTTATTCAGCGATACTGTAGAGTAAATGCCATGGATAACTGAAAATCGAATATCCTATTACGAGAATGCTTGAGCCGCTGAAGATTCATGACCATAATAGCACTCAAATCAATCATCTTTCCATAATTCTACAAAACACTAGTAATTGCAGTGTGGAGCAGAGATGCCATTATGGACGCATTTGATGAAGTTGGACGACTATTCAATTATTCCGGAACTACTGATTACGGTATGTCTCAACACTCTATCCCAGAGGTGCCTAATCTATAGCAGATGTTCGTTTTCTCGGACCTGTACCGGCCTGCACTGTCTTTTTCAGACAGCACGGTATGTCCGCAAGTAACATGAACCCAGATTCCGGTGCATCATTTCCCGGTCTTCAGTGGTGGCCAGTACCATATGGTTTTCGGCCTCAGATATGTTTGAAGACTCGCCCTTGGTCAATCTTTTTGGAATTCCAATAAACATTCGTTCATTCATTCATTCATTAATTCAACTTCAACCATTCAAGTTCGAGTCGTAAGTGGGCTCATTGAATGCGATTTGGCCTACACGATGACTTGTGGGGCCAGCCAATGTGCAGTTTAGTGTTCTTATCCTCCCACACGAAATTGGTACCAATCACCGGAGGGTAACAGGCCTTTGTTGCCTGAGCGAAGAATCTGCCGCGGATTTTTAATACCAGTCCAGGCGCGCATGTAAACACTTTCCACTTGCCACTACCCACTTCCAGCTTCAGTGCTGTCCGAGAGCGAATTTGTTGCCAAGAACTCTCTTGTCTTCTCTTCTGTCACTTTCGAATGGTTAATGCAACTCAGACTTGGAATTTCTCGCATACCCCAACAGACAGAGTCGTTGTTGGAGCTCAGAAGGAGAAGCTTCGCTGCTAAAGTAGCGGAACGAGCAACATACAAACTGTGAGTGTAGAATTTACAAGTTTTCGCATTTCGCCTAACAGTATTCTCCGGAGTAACCTCATGCTATTTTCACATGAGCATGAACCGCACAGAAACTTTCGAGTGGTCTCCTGAGACTATAAGAACAACACTATCTATCAATATATTGGTAAGACTGCGTTCATACTTTGCGGCAGCCACCACCAGCGTCTACCAGCGTCCACTAGCGTTCCGAGCGTCCGACAGCGTCAGCGACTGGAAAGTATAGATATCGATCTAGCGTCTGCCAGCATCTCCCAGCGTTCCAGCGTCTACCAGCGTCCGGGAGAGGAGAGTATGGCGCGATAGGAGGGTAGCAGACAGCTGGTACCCTCCTATCGCGCCATACTCTCTACCAGCAGTCTGCTACCCTCCTATCTCCCCATACTCTACCAGCTGTCTGCTACTCCTATCACGCCATACTCTCCTCTCCCGAAAGCTGGTAACGCTGATGCACGCTGGCACACGCTGGTAGACGCTACATTGATGCGTATACTTCCCAGGCTGAAGCTGTCAGACACTCAAACGCTATTGGACGCTGGTAGGCGCTAGTGTACGCTGCCGCAAAGTATGAACGCAGCCTAACCAAGAGCATAACAACCCAATAAGGCCAGATAGTCCAACTGGTGAACTTCGGCGACTCCGGTTATACTAATCTGAGTCAAGTGTGGAAGGGGTGGAAGCATTCACTGTTCAGAGCATTTTAGCGGAATGAAAAAAGTTTGCAGGAACCATGATAGAGACGTTTCTCGAAAACATTTGGCTGACTCGATGTGCCCGCTGCGAGATATTTCGTGCAAGTCGTCCAAATACCGTACCATCACCGGAACGTGAGACTTTGCACCGTTTCCATTTCGATATTGTTCATATGAGTACTAAACCTCAAAGATGTATCCCCTTTCTAGGTGCAACAATGTCTTCAGTCCTCACGATGGAGCTTCGATGAGTGCTTTTCATCGAATGATCCCTCCTGACTATGACGATGGTAAGTTTGAGAAGCTCTTCCTTATGTATATAACTCAACTCGAATCAACTCAATTTTTTCATTGTCAAGGCATTTCGAGCTACAGAACTTCCGTGACCGGCAAACCTTTACCTGATCCCAAGTTTCGTGGCGAAGTCACTAGCCGGGTAAGTTAAGTCATTCATTCCTCTATAAAGCAACATTGTAGTGGACACGTGACTCAAGTCTGCTTTCTGGAAAAACGAATATGTCATCTTTCCCCCTAGGACACGCCATCGCGTTGTGCTATATCATTGCTGAATACGACCCCCCCTCCCTCCTCAGAAACACGGACCCACTGTAAACCTCCCCCCGTCCCCACTTGGCACGGCGTCCGCGAATTGCGGCGGAGAACTTTCAAACGCTTGCTGGGCGCACTGGAGCGCGCTGTCTTGCAGTAATACGCGGGAATAAGCTAGAAAGCTAAAGAGGTACCCTTTCCTGCAACATATCCAATATTTTTTGCTTAGGAGCAACTCTGGGCTAAAGCGGGAAAAAGCCAAAGGTAGAGCTGCCAATAATCGGCATTGATTATCTTCGCGGCCTTAAGCGCCTTAAGGGGAATGATCTTCTGGGCAATAGCTTCTTTCAGGGAAATATCCTCATTGTCTCATCGTTTTGGTCCTACTGTCCTACCAGTTTTTCATGCTTTAACAGCCTACTTCTTAAATAGAAACGCTATGAACCGAAGAACAGTGCTGGAATCAGGAAGACTCACTTCGTGAAGAGCACCTCATTCTAAAAAATTCCCCATGTGTGATTACTGTAAGCAGTCGAGCGGTGAGAAAAGCCATCCCTCGCACTGCACATTCACAGTTTGTTAGAACACTTGTGTGCTTCTAAGAAAACATCTTTTAGTCAATTTTATTTTTTTTTGTCAAGGACTAGTCCATTCGGCCTAACTGCGCTATATTTCGCCATGCAGTCGCCCCCTGACCACAAAGCTGTTGGAAAGGTGTACCTTCTAGATAAGGCTTCACAGTGCACGCAGACGGGCTTCTGTGATTTGGCGTTCGACCATATACTGGGTTTTTTTTGTTCCCAATAATAGATGACATCGTCAATGAGCGGCCACCGTACTTTTTTGTCAGCCGCCCATTTCACACTTCTCAGCTTGCAGCTTGCCCCGTCTTCAGGGGTCTCTTCAGATGTACTTCACAACAAGAACTATGACCAAAGTTTTGTAATTCAATGACTGTACAACATATGAGTATCGCTGCTCCTCCCACCATTGAATGAGCCCTACGCCTACGATCCACCCCCCTCCTTTGCGGTCAAATACGACCCCTACCCCTTGCTATGATTTCTACAGCGATAGCGTGCCCCGATTTTCCCTCAAATCCTTCACGTGGATACTATAATGCCATGGTGGAATCTAGAATCTTACACATCCTACAATTTCTCACAACAGTTGCTGAATTGTGGAAAGAGTGTGCTTTCTCGGATGAGACTCCAGCCTGCACATGTGGTTTTCCGACCAGTGCTACCCCTGGGACGTTACCCGCCTTATATCAAAGTTTTGGGTGTCGGTGGTGCAGTGCATCAGAGCCCTGCTCAGAAATTATGCAGGCAGCTTTGAACCCTGGCTGATGGTGACACCGAACCCCTGTTGCACCACTCGTCCTTATTTTGACCCCTTCAGAGGTCCCACGTCATGAACATAGCGCAAAATGGCTATCAAATCCTACAAAAGAAAAAAGCTATTGAAAGCACATCCCACGCCATTCGTGTGAGCGAAGTCGCGCTTCTCAATGTCTCTTCCTCATTGGCCCCTTCCTCCTCCTCAAGAGAAGTGAGCGGAGAAGACACAATGGAAGACCCAGCTCCGCCCATCAGCATGGAATGTTTTTCCGATGGAACTGCAAATGTGTTTATATCTGTACTGCCGTAAAGAAGCTAAGGTTCATCTAGACGGGCCAGTTTGAGCAGTGCGATGATATGAGTTGTTATTTAGCGTGCATTTCGGCCACCACTATCCTTCACCTTCCGTCTCGGCACTCTTTGTTCACTGGTCACGTTTCCTGTACAGTGACATGGCTGCTTTAGCACCTTTTATGTTGGCAGGTACTTTTCTCTTTTTTCCCGGGCACTGCATATCCTTCACATTTGGATTTTCCGAAGTTTTATTGTACTTTCATTTTTTTGATTTTGAAAATTTCAGAAGGTAGTGCCCCAACATGTTGCCCAGTGTCTACTCACCCAGAGTGTGCTCCTCTTCAAGTGGATAATGGGTGGGCATTTATCATTACGATCATCAAGAAGGCAAAACGATTGGTCCTGCCCCGCCCACTCGACGAACGTGGAATGTGATTTTAATATAAACATTGCTCTTCCTGAGTGACATTCTGCAGACACATTCAAACAGCCCAAAAGCCAGACCAGACATCCCAAAACCACTAATTATACTTCCAGAGTTCCGCCGCCTCTCGGATGTTACCCCTATGTGAGGAGCCAGATAGCGCCGTCAGAAAGGTTTGACTGTTCAGTCTTT